AAACTGCCTGCAGTGATTGACGTATGTAGTCAGGCTAGCGTGGGAAACAGGTAAGGAAAATATTTGCAGCATATTTGGTCTGTAATTAGATGTGCGTCTAATTTGTAGTATTTTATAAATCTCAATCTTATTACGGAATCCAGCCCCTGGCAACACGGGCAATGTGCACAAGCCTTGAAATGGAGCACCAACAATCAGCATTGTGGCAGAAACTGATTCTCTGCTCACCTGATGTCCAAACACATGCAGATTCCAGAAAGGACCATTGAATAGCAAACAGGATTGGGAACCCTCTGTGATGTTTGCCCTCCCTGGCCCAGGGGACACTGAGGCTGATACCAATACCCCTCGTTGCCATTTGAATTGAGATCAGAAAACGCCATAAAGACTTGGACTAAAACCTAACTTAGACTAAAAGATCTCTCCACGAGTAGAGATCTTACGGTCTGCCTTTGCTATGATTTTTATTGTTTTCATTTTATTATAGGTTATAAGGGCCATCATACACTTGTTTAGGGCAGGTTACATGATAAAAAGCACATCATCTGTTTTAGATGAATTAAAATTTGCACGTCAGGGCTGAGGAAAGGCAATTCAACAAATCTAATTTTATTCTATTACAGCAGGACATTAACTGTACCATTTGACTGATCAGTGCTGTTCTCTGATGACACATTATTCACTCTGCTTCCCTGTGTAGCGTTCCTTGGAGACTTGTCGGGCCATCCATCTGCAAAACAATCCTTGCAGAGTGGTTCTGTGTGCTCCTGACTGCATAGCTTACCTCTGACAGGACAGAATATTTCCCCACTTTTTGCAGATAACAACTGCCACAACTAACATTTATTAGATCAAAGATGCTACTTTGTCCCATTTGCTGGCACTGGGCTTGTCATGGCATATGCTGTTTTACTGTCACGCTGTCACTGTTATAATCTTCTGTTTATTCTACATGCCTGATGCCTGCAGTTCTGACATCTCTAATGTCTGACCTACATCACAAAGTCTTTTAGCATTCTGTTTAGCTCCCTTGGTGACTATTGCCTCAGAAGTGTCGGTCAAGCGAATCTGTGATTTCATCTTTTCGTCCAAATAGGCAAAATTCACAAGAAAAATTCTTTAATGCTGAAGAGATGCCCTATACAACAACGATAAATTGCATTTATATAGTGCCCTTCACGTGCGGTAACATCCCGGATTCCTACACTGATGCAACTGAACTGAATGATCGTGATATTTTCAAAAATCTGTTTCAGGGTCTGGGAAGTCATGGGAAGTCTGCTCTTTTATGAATCTAATAAGCAGAAACAAATATTACATTTGGAATTAGTTTGCTGTTGAGCGGAAACACTGTACTAAGCGAGAGAGCGAGAGAGAACAAACACATTTAGGTACCAGACTGCTGAAATCTCATGCCCACTAATGGTTAATTGCTTCTTCCCACTCAATATAAATAGACTGAAGTGGATTTATGCTTTAATTTTGAAAACTGCTCCTATAATATTAATAATCTTTGCACTTGTTATAGGGCCTTATCACATCTTCGAGACGTCTCAAAGCGTTTCACAGAATATACTGTAAAGTTAATTCATTGTATATTTAGGGGGCAAAACCCGGCAGCCAATTGCACACAGCAGTGTCCCACAAGCAGTCGTGGATTGAGCGACCAAATTATTTATTTTTTGAAGGGCTTATTACCCCCTTATAATGGTGGACAGAGCTTGTGAAAATCTTGACAGTGCAGCAGACATATTAGTTTGTTTAACAACACATCACCTTGGAGGGAACCACAGGGTGACGGATGACTCTTTGCCTTTGAACTTGCAGAGCAACCCCTTCAAATGCTGTATCAGTTCCATTCTCACGCTGACCGATAAACCTGATTAGGCAGCTTCCCACTGGGGTTGTCAGAGCCATAAGTACCAAACTGTCAATGACTCAGTTGGACAATTTAATTTACATATGGCGATGGCTCTTGAATGTTGTTAAGAGTGGCCAAGTACATCAAATGAGAACAGCCAGGATATTCACAAGAATGTCTATCACTTCTACATATAGACACATTATAGTAAAGAGGTCATGTGAACCATTGAGCTTGATGCTGGTGTGAGCTCCTCTATTTTGAACTACTTATATACACACCTCAATCCCCTTCTCTTTCCCTGCAATCTTTTATTTTGTTTCTCTTGAAATCCGTATGTAGTTTCCTTTTGAAATATTTCTCCAGTCTTAGCTTCAACAGTCACATGTATCAACACATTCCAGTCTTTTATAAGGAACAGAAAGATCAGACCTTTTCCTTTATGAGGACTATTTCTGGGGACTTGTGCAACATCTATCTATGAAAGCAATAAATTCATCCATATCTGGATAAGCTGTACATTTGTCACATGAAATATAGGAGACAAATCATCAATAAAAATGGTTGCATATTTAAAATGACTTGATGTATTCATTTGTATTTAGCATTAAGGAACTTTTGTCATGGAGATGATAGTGAATACACAGTGTTAGTGTTACATTTGCTCCAAACAAAGTCACCGATAGACTTTGAAAGGATTATTCATTCCTGTGGCTTGATAAAATATTAATAGAATATAACTCATTATAATATTCTGCCATCTGCAGTCTCTCCAAAGGTAATAGGTTTCAACTTTCTCAGATAAAAAGAGTACTCACTTAAAAATCAATTCTTCATCATTTGTTGAGAAGATGGATAATTAACATGTAAATTATTGCTTAATGGATGGCAGAATGAATTATTGCATGAGAATTGATTTAAAGAAGTACTTGAAATTCTGTCAGGAAGCTTCAACTCTCACAGCAAACAAAATATTATGAGTTTCACGTATTTAATTTACATAAGCTCATTAAGAACTACACTTTCACAACTGAAATCCTTATTTTCACACCAAATATTCTAATAAATGTTGCAGTGCCGTAATTATATTGCACCAATTTTAGTGCTTGTGAAGAGCAGGCAGAACTGTACACTCTTTACTGACTGACAAAGAAACTCGAGAGTAATTTACTTTTAAATTGAAAGTTCCAAGTGTGCTTCGCAGTCATATTCCTTGAGGTTATCTTTTGTTAAATTGGCAATCTCAAATAGACATCCACAGCTATGCTTAAGTGTTTAGGAACAGAACAGAAGTTGACCATTTGACCTGTTGGAGCCATTTTCTCAGGTTATGGAGATCTTTATTACTTTTATCCCATTTCACTGATGTCTGTGTCTCTCTCTATATAATAAACATATCATATATCCATCTCAATCTTCGAATCAAGTCTATATTTATGGTGTTTGGGTAGTGTATTATTCCACAATTCTCTGGACTCAACAAAAATTGAAAGGTCATTTATGTTGGGATATTTGTGTAAATTAATTATATAAAAAGAGAAGCATTGACAGGAAAGTTGTGCCAAATCCTGACCAGATGTACAACAACATGATTTAACTGTTCTGTATCTATAAATGTCCAAAAACTCAAATTTTATTATTAGTTCTGTGTTATGGGTAATGGAGGGAAGAGTTGTTTTCATGTCAACCTTTGACAATTCTGTACATTATCATAAGCAGCTCATATCACTCTTTAAACCTCAAGACTAAGGAATATACAGTAACTCAATCTGCATCCCAGATTACATTCTGGTTCAATACCATAGGTTTTCCTCCAAATATACTTTCGCAGCTGGTGAACCCAAAACTAATCACAGTGAAGGTATGAACAGTGCTCTTCGTAACTGTATCAAAGTATTTTTATATTCTAGATGACTTATGAACCCATCAGCCTCTTTGATTACTGTCAGCACCTGTCAACTGGCATACATAGAATTACATAGACTTTACAGAACTGAAACAGGCCTTTTGGTGTGTTGGTGTTCATACTTCACCCTCCCATTTGCCTCTATTTCCTTCTCACTCATGTATGCAAACACGGATACTGTCAATGACTTAAATGTGCAGCAACCATGAACAGCAATGCCTTTGTCACTCAGAATAAACCACAAGTTCCGTTGTTTCTCACCATCTTTTCAAATTCCTCAGTTATTCCAATTCTCGGTGGCTAGAGTATAATTAGGCTGATTCCCACTCCCCAGAGAAACCGATTCATTCTCATGCTCATTCATGTTAAACCTCTGGCGACTATTTTGCAGAGGAATTGCACACATTTGTGAAAAAAAAGCAGCCCATAGAATGGATATGACTCAAGAGTTAATGAAAATAATTGCAGTTAAAACACACACAGTGCTTGTACCTCTAATGGGAGACAGGTTGGCTCCAATCTTCTTCTGGTACTCTGCCAAATTTATAAATAAAGAGACTCCCTTGCAATATCTGTATTAGGCTGTTATTGTGTGGCATATTAGTCTTTTCATAGTGAGGTTTACAAGTAAGATAACGTCAAAATGTGTACTTATTGTAATTTGGGAATAAATGATTAAATACGACTACCCTTGGAGAGATACTAAAATAAATTAAATTCCTCTCCTGAGTCAATTTGCAACAACAAGCATTAATTTTCGGTCCATTATGAGCCAGTAAAGGGCAGTTCTGAAATTGTAATAATTTTGAGATTAGAAAAAAATTATCAAGTAATCTTTGTGACGCATGACTGCAATATCTTCCTTTACGTCCTCTCATGTTACCAATGACTGTTGGCATGTGCCAAATTCAACACAATATCAGCTGACAACTCGTGGCACATCTGGTGCCCTAGCCTCAAGCCTCCTGACTGCTGTTTTCAGTTAAAATTAGTTATCAATACAAGAAACTGTCAAAATCATTGGTTCATACTCTTGAACTGATGGCTTTGGACATTTGGACCCACAAGACAGTTAAGTCCGATTGTTGAACAACTTTCGTACTGATACTTCTTTTCTCGTCTTTAATCCGCACAAATGGCCCAAATTAAATGCATGCTTATTCTTTGGTCGGCAAAATATTCAGCACTACGTACAATTTCACATGCTGTATTGAATGAAAAGGAAGATCTCACCTGTAACACTTAGTTCAGTTGTTCGTCTCACCACCTTGTTCTTGTACTTCAATTCACAGGTATAATTCCCAGTGTCTGTTTCTTGAACATCTTGTATCACAAGGGAATTGCGCTTTTGAATAATTGTACTTCTCCAGGGTTTCAGTAAACATTCCTGTGTTAACACAGAATTCAAAATAAACTAAAAAAAAACTATCCAGTTATTTTATCTGCATTCATTATCATATAACACATATATTTAAAAGCAAGCTGGCAATCTTTCTCCGCTAGATTGGCCAATTTGCTATCTCTTCATGCCTAACTCAATTTCTGTATCTACTGATCCAGAACACATCAATGGTGAAATGTGATGTGTTGCACAATATCCTACAGGAGAAAGTGCACAATGGGAACTAACCAATTAAAAGGTGTATGAAAACAGAATGTTAATAAAGGTTTGGGTTTATTTTGAGATCTGTACAGAGGATGAATGGCCAAGGAACGCTTGGTAAATCAAATTTGCCTTTTTTGAAGGTTATGAAATGTAACAAAGACATTAAACCTAGTCGCAAAAGCAGGAAGGGAAGCTCAAGGAGATAAACATAGAAACAATGGAAAGTTGAGAGAGGATCCTGCTGTATTTCCACAGCCCTCCTCTCTGCTGAAAGTCCATTCTTACAAATACATACGGTAGAACTGAATAAAATATATAACCAGCCCCCTCTCCCCCTGCCCACCACCACCCCCCACCCTCCCCCCCCCACACACACACACAACCAACATACTAAATAACAAGCTTCATATCTGCATATTGAACTCTTGGTACATTCATGCAGGAGATAATTTCAAATTACCATCTGACAATTTAGTAAAGCAGCTGTAGAGATTTAACACAAGATTAACTCTTTAGACTTTATGGCTGCTCTTAAAACGAGTCTCTCAAAGCATTCTAATGGCTAAAGTAATGGACAATGAGCACCAGTTGTTCATTGTTTTCTTTTCAACTTTGCCATTTTACAATCAGAATTTGATGGGAAAATTAAGAAACAAGAATAAGAATTTTCAATAAGAAGGCAAATATCAATTGTTGAGTAATAATCTCTTATTCTCAGTATCACAAAGCATTGTCAGACGTGCCAATATCAAAATCTGATTCCACTCCCACCAAAAGATCACCTTTATTTCAACCAAACTCTTTAAAGAAACATTATAATTATCTTTTACATTCCCTTAGTTTTATTTTCAAATCAAGTCTAATTGAATACAATAATGGGAACGTGTCAGAAGTGAGAGTTCAAGATAATCTACCTAATGTCAGTAAAGGGAATGAAGGAGAAATACAGATTTCAAACTAAACAAACTTTTGCATTGATTTTAAGGGACTGTATTCCTCTGAATTGCCCAGTCATTATAAACGTTATAAAACGGAAGTTTTGCACCTTATTTTAGATCCCATCAGTAAGCAAAAACTGACTTACAGCCATAACACAGAGATTGTGGTTCATTAAAAAAAATAAACTCGCTCTTGGGGCAGATTTCAATTAATCTTAATGGCTTAAGTGCATAAAAGTAGTGAAGATTTCAAATACATATCCGATTCCACAAGTGCAGAAGATCTTATGGCATATGTGTGACAAGTCCAATGTCACTAACGTTACTTTTAAGTAAGCTCCCTTACTCACTGATTATGGAGCCAAAGCTTCCGTTAAATTGGATTGATATGAAATTGCTAGTGTCATCAGTTATGCATCAGAATTTGTGTACAAAATTCAATACTATTTTAACACGGCTTCAACTGAAAACCTGAAGAATACCTAATCTAAAGAAACCAATGCAGGAGTTAATGCTTTTTAAGAGTTAAATCACTGGAAGCGGTGTAGCTGCTTCAACACCATAACGATTATAGTGACAGTATAAAGGATACATGTCTTATGGAAAGCATTAAAAATATGGCTGCAATTAACGTTCCCATAGATTAGATAATGGAATCTGGGATTGAGAACTAAGTAAATTATGAGGCTCAGTGGAGTGCTTTATTTTACTCAAGATTCCCTATTTCACCATCAAACGTGTTGTAAGTCATTGTGACCTCTGGCAGATAGACAGCAACAGTGACACGACAGTTAAGCAGTGATAGTTAAGCTTCTTCATGAAATGTAATCCTTTACCAGACATTAATGCCTGCTATTGAGTCCAATGGAACAGTCAAGACTCAGTAATCTACTCCAGTTATCACATCGTATCTTTGATACATTGCAGTTCTTGAATGCACATTTTTAATTTCAAAGGAATGCCTGTTTCTAAAAATAAATAGGTTATAAGAATGGGATTTGTTTATTTACTAAGAAGGAACCTTTATTACCTTGTACCATATAATATCAAGTTCTCTAACTGCTGTTATGAAATCTTCAATGTCTCGGCAGAAGAGCTGTTTGCTTTTAGTAATTTCAGCTTTTTCAAAATTTCTGATCTTGCTGTTGAAGCAAAGTCCTGAATCGTTTTCAGCCACCGTCAAGGACATTGACACCTTCATGCAGTATGTTGTGTTTCTGCAATGACAGAAAAGCTTTAGATTTATAATTTCACCTCAGCGATAGATATTTCAATGCAGAAGGTTGAGGGGGGAGAAAGGGCAACATCCCACCTGCAAATAAAAACAGGGCTGAGTGGAAATGAAATTTTAATGCAGTTTTAAAAAACAAAGTAGAAAACCTGGATTCAGCAATTTCTACATTATTAATACTTTAAAGGAAATGCATCTCTAACTTACCATACTTCTGTTTACCCTGCTTACTGGTTGAAAGAACAGGTTCTGCAGCACAGTAACTAGGTTTGAGTTCCAGTATTTTGATCTGAGAGAATTCACGATTAAAATGCCCTTCTATCAGCATGCACCTGTGTCAGTGAGGTCAATTTTGATGGCTGGCATATTGGTAATCAATCAATGAATGAATCAATGAATCAATGAATCAATCAATCAGTCAGTCAGTCAGTCAGTCAATCCAATCAATCCAATCAATCAATGCACCAGGTTTGTTTCATTCGCAAGTGAACTGTACAGCAACATCCGAGCTGCAGCAAGGACGGATGTGGCTTATGTGCAAAACTATGGAAATAGGCAATGCAAGGAAAAGCTGTCTTTGAAAGAATAAGAGCGATGCAACCATCTGGGAACAGAAGGTGGCAGAATGAATGAAGATGCATGTTATAGCAATCCATCTGAAGAACAAAATATCAGTTGGAAAAAGAGATTATACCAAAAATGGACAGAAAAAAACAGGTGCTTTGTATTTGCAGAAATAAATATTCAGTGTATTATCAATCAAGCTTTTAAAGGAAAACATTATTTCAGGGAGGCATTTATTTATTCTTATTTAATGCACAGTGCATTCCAGGGTTACTGTTCACAAAGCAATTCCTCTGACACACATGGTGCTCTGTTGGAGAAATCCAATCTTTTTTGTTTGCCATTTTAACTGCCAACACAACAGACGTCAAAGAATATTGGAAAGAGCCACAATTCTGAGAAAATGGAACACACTAAAAGACATGTTGATGTCATCCTACTCAAAGTACCCTGATGGAAGAGAGAGCACCACAGAGATGAGAACATAATCCATGGAACATCATAATCGCTGTGCTGTTGGTTTTTGTCTGTGGAGGAATGGAAGCCAGGTTTGAATAATGGAGACATGGGCTCTGAATATTTGGTAGTTTTTGTTCGATTTAGCATTAAAAGTTCAGAGAGTAGCTTTACAGTAGAAGGAATGGGTGACCTGAAGTGCACAAGGGGTAGAACGTTGTGCGATCTATGACAAGACACCAAATGGTCATTGAACATTCCATACTTTAGGCTTCATTTGATTCATAGATCGACAGAGCAGATTTGTTTGCCAGACAACAATGAACCAATTTATTCTGCCAATTTTGGAGATTGAGGATGCAACCCCTCCACCGTGTGCATTCTCAACGGCATCATTAATCATGACAACAAGCGTACTGATAGAACACTTAATAGTTCTTTCCTGCATTATAATAGGAACAGGCTTTTGTCCTTAAATATTCCAGTGTATTCTATATTCCAGTACTTGACCCAAGAAGTGGTTGGAAATGTTATTGGTGGGAAATTAAACATCTGATCCCAGTTGGGCCACTTTAACTTCTTCCGCATGACAAATCAATTACACATAGCTGAAAAAATTGTTGCCAACTTTTCAATGGTGTTGATAATTTTTAAGCAATCGCTGCAGCTGAGGCATGGTTGGGGCACAGTGTTATTCAGCTGGTGATCTGGCTTGAAGGTGTTATCACAGAGAAACACTGCTGACTTCTACCTTTCTTACTTTCACACGAGCCATCTGGTGCTCAACTGTGCGTCAGAAGAAAATAAGCAAGGAGTTTTAACCGCAGGATAGTATTGTTAAAAACACAATCAGCATGTAATAAATATATAATATTTATACATCCCCAGGCTACTGTCATATAGTTTCTGTACTTCAGAGCTGAACAACCCTTGGGTTTGCTGTCTTTCTGACGCAAGTCAATGAAGTTGCAATTATGTTTTGGAGAAACAAGCATTTCTCTGGATTGTTACACATTGCACCCACAGAGCATAACTTTATGCAGATCACATTCTATTAGACATCAATTTCTTTCTGAAAATGGAGCAGACCATCTAAGAACTTTAAACTACTGCAAGAACAAAAAAAAGCCAAAGATATGGCATGAGAATAGGGACCACAAAACTGTCCACTTTGGACAAAAGTGTGCCCACAAAGGCCAAATCATGCCTTTCAGCAATAGTGGATAAAGTCCACATTGCACAGTAGGGCATCTTCTACTATGTGCAGGATGTTACCCCTATTCCCAAATACACAGTGCAATCCAACCCAACACTTGACTCAGACCAATGAGTGCAGCCTATTACATTCTGGCCTGAACCCACATTCAGCCCTATTGGGGAAATCATAAACACCACAGAGGCTATGACTGGCTACACTTCCAATTGGATGAAATCCCTTGCACACTTGGCTACTGCCGGGAGGGAGAGGAGGTCATAAGTGCCTGTACATTGATGCAGTTCTTGCTCTTAGCAAAGCAACGCATAGACATGGCAGAGCTACAATCCCCAATAAACAAATGGATTGAGAGTCTGTGGGAGAAGATAAAGCACCAGGAGGTGAGAGTTTGCTTGTTTTAATTGCACATTCCCTCTGTGCTGGTTCATTGTAGCCCTGCAACACAAAATCAACCAAATACCCAGCACCCATTGTCTTCCTAATCACTGCATTGACCACAGTTGAGCCTTGGTCCAACGTGTCAAATAATCACAACACTACTATTGATTAATAATACCCTCAGGTACAGAACTATATTAAACCCATAATGCTAGTAGCTGCATGTCTATGCACCACGCATGCAAGCCAACATGGACTCTGCATCATATGCACTAAAATCCATGGAAAGTGTAAACTTTTCTCTTTTCAATCTTAAAAATGAGCCATTTCACGGTTAAGTTTACAAAAAAAAAGCTTGCTGTAAATAAATATGACTCAATAGCTTTACAAACCTGGTTTATTAACTGTAAAATTTATACAGTAGATTATTACTGAAAAGACTTTGAATTACAAGGCCTGAAATTGCAGAATTAATGGGGCATAAAGTCCATCACCATAACATGATTATTTTCCAATCATTAGATCTGTTTCCTAATTTAACTTCAATTAAAATTGTAGGCACCCAGATAGGGCCAGTTATTATACAGCTGTGAACAGCAAAAATTAAGCCCAATTTTTTTTTAAAAAAGCAATGCGTCTGAAACCCTGCCCGATTTTTTTTAAAAAAGCTATCATTAAATTGTTCTACGACAAACATAACAAGTACCAAGTTTATTGAGGGGAGTGAAAATCATTGACCCAAAAAACATAAATCTACCAAAGGTCTCGCCACAGTCCAATTACATTTTGAAAACTGTTTTGCAAAGGTACGACTGACATAACCTTAGCTTCTTCTCACAGCTTTAAGTGCTAAATCAGCCGTCTTTTAGGGTGGTGAGACCAGCGCAAATGCGCAAAGGATTTATGGAGTAATTTCAATAACCTTGCTTAGAAAAACAATTCACCTACAGGAAAGGAGTTGGATTTCACAAAGCAGAAACTAAACTAAAATGCCAAGCGACATTTTAAGGTAAGAATAATTTCTACTAGAGCAAACCCAGAGAGGCCGTTGGCATTAGTTCTGGACAATACTTTTGGAGACAAAAACGAAATGATATCAGACAGTTTACTCAGAAGACTCACAAAACATTTTCCTTAATAAAACGAGTTGAAGCCCTTTGTTTTATCACCTAAGGGTTTTAATCACTGCAGTTCATGAAGTTGATCCCAGGTGAATAGAGTAACATTCTATACTTTGTATTCATTGAGGGGAAAATGTGTCTGCTTCAAGCCTGGAAATTTGAGCTGTCGAAAACCTCTAAGTACTTCCTGACATATATTGAACCATTTGGAGAAGTATCTGATAGCAGCTGTAAGCTAAAATATCTTCAGTCCTGTTTGCATTTGTTACTCAATTTAGCCCGTTCACTAAGATATCGTACGCTCCACATGCCACTTTGCTATTTATGGGCACGTTGGTGTTAATTCATTTCACGTTAATGCAGTTTTGACGGACAAAAATAACACATACAAAAATCTGCAATGGACAAGCTGTGACTTTGTATCAAATAACTTCAAGAGATGTGGTTTAAGTAAAAGCTTTCACGACCGTTCACTTGCCTAAGTTAAGAGTTGGAGTATTCGTAGCATATATTGAATAATCCTTTTTTTATTAAAGCTTTGTCTTCAAGTTATTTTTAAATATTCCCACATCATAGCTTTGGGGTTCTGTCTGAGCAAATTTGTGTTCTGTGCTCATCAGGAAAAGTTAGTATTTCTTAGCTATAAACTCTGTGGATGTTTCTCAGTCAGACAGAGGGTAGAGCTGATGACACAATGACCATAGTTGTCTAACTTTTACAAATACATCTATTCCAAGCTTGCTTGCTTGTTTGCCTCCTTTCTCCAATTCAGTTGCCATTATTGTGGCACCCCCCATCCCCACTTCACGCCACCCAAAATTGTACCATTGAATAATAACATTCTCCTTTAGCAAATGAATGAGAGTGAGCTGTTTGGTAAATTAATTCCAAGTGTTCATCTTCTCCTGGTTGAAGACGCCTTGCTGCAATGTGTCGGGCATCTAGATTGGATGTCCTGTATTTTTAAAACATTATTAAAGAGGTGTTCAAAAGTTTCCAAAGCAATTCACAACCACCATTGTTTGCACGACACCAATCCAAATGACAATGTTCCTGAAAATGTCTCTTTCAAGTGGTTAAAATGAAATTATTAACGTCAAAAGATGATAGTAAAGAATGCCCTATTGCAAATGGAGTGAGGCTGAGCAGGACGACATACCTGAGATGGTCTCTTACCTGGAAAAAAATGCTAATTGTTTCTGTGAAGCAGAAGCTAAATTTCAGTGATGCACGATTTGCAGAATAGCTAACTACAGCATTAAAATGTCAGATCCACAGATGGTTTGCATAGTAAACCATGTTTTTACTTTAATGTATACTTTGGATATTGGTGCAACGTCGAGATTTCATCACAGCAGTGTCCAAATTGCAGGGCAAAGCTGTCAATATTCGCTTGATCTCGTCAGTTATCATTTCAGACGTCGGAGATAGTATACGTATGACTGGGATGATTCCAGCATTTGAAAGTCTAAAAGAAAATTGAATAGATTTACATTGAAAACAAGACTGAGAAGGAGCATAATCCAGCACTTTAAAATCAAGAGGCATGGATAATGCAATGTAACAGGCTTTTCAAACCTGGACTGCGAATGTAAAACTAGAGGACGCAATACAAATTAGCATGACTCAAGCGAGACTAGCTATTTTAAGAATTGATTTATTTTCCCACTGTATGCGGGTATGTGGAAAGGCTTTCAGAGAAAGTAGTTAACTTTCATGATGATGATGAAGCTAGGGGGAGATAAGATTGAAGGCTGCAGGCACAACGATGTATGCCGGCAAATACGCAATGCAACCGAGTGCTTCGTATCTTGTTGGCATCTTGGAAATGTCATCTAAGAGAAGCATGCAGACTGCGTTAAATATCAGAGATAACGTTGCCAAATATTCTGGAGCTTTGCTCGATTATTTTCTGGGGCAGGGTAAAAGTTTGCAAAACTTTCCTTCAGGGGATGAAATAAAGGGAGAGAGACAAAGAAATCCCAACATGGATTCTTCACTTGATCCAGTTTCTAATCCCTTAACAATATACTGTAGTTTACAACATTAAATATTTGGGAAACAATCGCGAAGCAAAATATATTCTGTAAATTGAACAAAACAAGTCTTCTCAGTTTAGTTCTGAAGGTAAGATGACCTTGCCTAAACTAACATTTAAATTAGTAATAAATGTCAGTAACAGATTTAAACAGCAACAAATTTTGAATGTCATAACGATTCTCACTACTCTGAAGACAGATAATCAACTTTGAAAGCTTTTACTTTTTTTCTGCACATTTCTGAAAAAAGCTCATTTCAGGCTTGATCAGTCCCTTCAATTTATATACCTTAGCAATCAGGAGAGCCTGTGGTATATAGCAGCAAAGTGCCATATCTGATTCTATGCATCAGTGTGGAAACATCTCATTTGTTTAACTTCCGAGTTTGGGGAAGCCAGCTTTATAAGGTGATATGCCTCTTGTGGCTTTTTGAGGTTGACAAAATAATTTTACCGTTAGCCGCACAAAACAATACAGCATTCCTCCTACACTCTATTTTTGGGATACAGATTCATTGGCACAATATAAATCTTCACTCTTACCATGACAGGGTTTTCAATCATGGGCCAAACATTTTCTGACAGTGCTAAATGAAGCGTGAATTGGAGAAGCCTTTCTGAGAATTTTACACCAGGTTTCACACATGCAGACTCAAGTGACCTATTCAGCTTTTATGAAGCAACATTGATGCACTATTAATTCATCAGAGTTTTGGTTAATAGTGTTGATCAAACTTCTATTGGTATCTGGTGTGTAGTTTCCTTGATACTTTTTTGATTGAATTCAAGAATTCATTCATTCATTGAATTCAGCGCCTCGTAACTTCCTCCTGACGTGAAAGGCGCTATACAATGTAATCTTGTTGTTGTTGCTGATGAATTCAATATCCATTCAAATTATCTGTATTCTACACATTTACAGCAGGTTAATTGTGAGATAGCAAATCCCCAGGTCGGGTGACCAGGCCAACATTGTTAAGTGCTTTGACACATCCTCTCGACATGAAAGGCATGTAAATCAGTGTAAATTGTATTGGACTTTATAAACATTAAAACTGGTATAGATTACAAAATCCACATTTGTTTGCATACCAGGGGTTAACATTGACTTATTTTATTTGAGAAAATAGTCAGTAATAATAAATGGGTCTACATTGCCTATAGCTTGGAGAAATTAAACAATATATTTCATAACTTTATATATTTTCATTACGTTACTAATATTAAAACCCACATGCATTCCGAGGGACATTAAGAGTTTGAAACATTAAAAAACTATCGTGGGACTTTTGACGCCTGAATACCTTCAACATCATAAAGCTCAATCCCTAATAATGCAATCTGAAGTAAAACTTTATTCCACATGCACTGGTTATCATTCCGCAGTATTCCCAACCTCAGTTCTTAAAAGATGAATTGCATAGGATTTATCATTCAGACATAGTTAATGGTACTGTGGGAAGCTGTAATGCTAAAGAAAGCCACAAAGTTAAATTTTCATCCTGCCTGCCATTCAGATGCTCTATCTCATTTTTTTTTAATATACAAGTGGCAGGTAATTAGTTTTAAACTATGGGGTGAAAAATGCGATAGGCAATGCCATTATTATCAGCGGTGCTGATTATCACATCACACATCGCATTATGAAGACATGCGTGTGTCGAAGTGGGGGAAATTGTTTAGAACGGTGGCCGTTTTCCGTCTGCGTTTCAAAATACATTCTTAATATGCAACCTTACCTTAATACGCAAGTGTAGTATCCATTATCGAACAATTCTGCCGAGTGGAACCAAATTGAATCCTCTTCCTTGCCTATTCTGCGTCCAGCAAAGATAATTGGTTCTTCCGAGTCTCCCTGTCCGTTATTTCTATACCACATTAGGCTGAGTCCTGAGCTCTGTGCCATGGTGTAGTTAGTCCTGATGTATCCGTAGAAAAGGGCACACTTCACACGCACAGGCTCACCTGTCAGCACCTTGTACTTCTTGAGATCCACTGACCAGTCAATACAACCATCAACTGCAAAATAGGAACAGAAAAGGCAGGAACCACATTAGTCACTGCATCCTGTTAAGAAGTTGCACCGAGCTCCTACACCACAAAAACAGATGGTTCCATTGAAACCTTGGAATCTGAGACGTCTAGAAGACTTAAAAAGCACTATATCAAATACAAGGATTACTATAAATAGTGTATTTTGGGACATTTGAATGTAGACATGCCTTGAATGATAAAAAGCATACTGAGGTTTAATTTGTTGCATTTAACAGGATTGCTTAATCCAGGAATCTGGTTTACACCATTGAGGATTATTGATATTCAGCTACATATCATGGGGACTTTAGTCTGACACAACCTACTCTCGGAGAGCGTCAATGGGAATTTTAATGGAATTCCTAAAATGGATACCCAATTGGTCTTAGAAAGGCCATGTTTAACTGAATATAAGGTGAACCACAGAGGGATTGCATGACACCATTTGGAACAGCCTGTGGATGTTCAAAGTAGCGTCCACTAATGTAATTAAAAATCAAAACTTATTTTGACGCACCAAAGTGGAAAATAAGCAGAGATCTCTAGGTCTAAATACTGTAGCTCTGTAACCTGTTGCACTCTTTCCGGTCATAAATCTCACTCCTAATATTTCCTGAAAGTTGACAGCTCTGGTGAAAAGAGGTTGGATGGGGGCACCTGAGAACAGAGCAAGATGTTTTATAGAACTACAGTTCAAAACAATTGGGACTGCAGAGATGTTCTGTATGCAACTAGGGAGAAAGGTTGATTGAAACTGATGAGACTCGCTCTGTAGGATAATGGCAAGGTACTGATAGGGGCCAATGGTTGCAGAGCGTGTGTGACCAAGTCAGTAATTTCATGTGAAAGCCAATTGCTTGTTGCCTGTTAAATCTTGCTAGTTTCCTCTGTAACCTTGGAATCTGAAAACGGGACAGTTCAGAAATAATCCTGGGTGAGATGATATTCAGTTCAACTTATTCAACAGCAACGCTATGTAATGTGGTAGAGACTGGAGTCTCGAAGATGGTTATGGATATTAATTTAATGCAAATCAAAATAATTTATGACCAATTACAGGAGGCCATGCAAATGGACACTGGGTAATCTGTCTCTCTGGTGGATATCGCATAAATGTTAATGCTTAAACCCTGCTTGCAATAATTTATGTAAGAAACTGTCAACCATTCAAATTTATTGCAGAACTCTTTTGTAATTTTTTTCCCTTCCACACAAACTTAATATGAAATTCACAGACATAGAACACAATAAAGATTTATCCCAGAAATATTTTGAGATTAAGCAATTATATTGCAGGACACGCTTAAGAGTGTAAAATGTCACAACGCAACAGTTATTTTGAGCAGTGAAATCGGCAAAGCAATTAAACATTGCTCTGCCAATCAAAGAGCATGGGAGGACACATTCAGAGCCCTAAGGTGTTTTATGAAGCTCATAAGAAACAAAAATCAAATTAAACCAGTCAATCCATGTGTAACTTTGCTTAAATACCTGTATGCAGCGTACCTATTTGCTAATTATGGTGTTCGTCACTTCATTGTGTCAAAATTCAAGGAATCAAGAAATACAAGTAACGTCTCATCTAAAAAATGTGAAGGTTGATCTGTCAAGAAATAGCACTGAAGATAACACATCAGAAGAATAAGTACATGGGCAAATGAAAATACATGCAGAGGAAGGGTGTTTGAGGGTTCAGGGAAAGAGCAGAGATTTGGAATTAGAACAGAGAGCTTCTTGGAAGAGCAAAGAAAACTGGATCAAATGGCCTTCGGACATTTCTATGGGTTTATGGAGTAGACTTAGTTTGATATTATTGGGGAATAATGTGGATGTGGGTATTCAACTACACTTTATGGTAAGATCCTGTGTAGCACCTTGAGATTTTCGCTTGACGTGAAAGGTGCCATATCTAATGCAAGGAGTACATTATTATTCTCTGCTGCACACTAATTTGGTTTTAAAGGAATAACCCAGTATTTTGATAACATAGTATCACACTGACAGGTCTCAAAGGATTTCACACGTAATTACTGTCCTGTCAAATGTAGTGATGTTACCCTGCGAGAAGGATGCTACATAAATGCAGGTTGTTGTTCACAGTTTTTCATCAGCGAACACGGTAGCCATTTTGTACATTGTAAGATCCCACAGACAGTCACAAGATAAATGAACAATTAATTTGGAAGATGGTTGGCCAGGATATCAGGAGAAATTCCCTTCTCATTTTGAATAAGTCATGAGATCCTTAATGTCCACCTGAAGTGGCTGGCAGGGTATCAATTAAACGTCCAATTCTAAAGATGCCACCTCCAATAATACATTTGCTCAGCACTGCACTGGAGTGTCAGTCTAGACTATGAGCTCAAGTCCTGAAGTGGGGCTGGAACCCAGATATTTGTGACCCGTATTAAAAGTCACCATTTCACCTCATATCATTTGGATATTTTTAAAAACTGGAAAGCCTTATCTGGGTCCAACAATAATAATCTTTGCATTTGATATAGCGCCTTATCATGTCTTCGAGATGTTTCAAAGCGCTTCACACAATATACTGTAAAGTGTAATGAATGTGTATTTTATGGGTGTAACGTGGCAGCCAATTGCGCACAGCGGTGTCCCACAAACAGTCTACCAAATTTTTTTAAATCGACTAACAAGCGGGTTCCTACTTACTGCTAGGTAAGTTGAGACGTGTGAGTGGAGTAAGGAAATTTGCCTAAGGTTTCGCCCCGATATTGCAACACAACTGGTACTGTTATGAACACAAAACCAACTGAGGCATTTTAATGTGCAAATTAAAGAGACATCAAATCTCTCAACACAACCACATTCCTTCCTGTAAATATATTTGATGTATAAATGTTTTAAAAAAACAAATTTACTATCATTGCACAAAACCTCCCACTGTGTCCAAAAAGTTATTCTATTCATGAATCCTGACAGCTGTTCTGGAATTTACCTCACAGTTGGTGTTCTTTCAAAGATCTGTTGTTTTATTAATACTTTAAACATTTCTGTCATTATCTCAAGATTGTCCATCCAAACTTTCTGTACCATGCAAAATACTTTGCATTTCAGAACATCTCTCAGCAGAACACATACCACCGAGTACAATGCATTTTATTTTTCTGTGATGTTTGATGTTTCTTTGATTTGCAGATTTAAAACCATTTTAACTTTTAAAAACTGTCCGAATATTACTGTTGATAAAGGACTTCCCAAGGCTTTGCCTTCTTTCTGAGACCTCAATGTACAATAGGGACACTTCAAAACGCAGAGTACTGCTGATTCCTCAGTTGATAGAGCCACTACTTGTAGTGAAATCAAGCGATCGAGAACTACAGGACTTCAGGTTTGTATTCCACTCTGGAAAACGCTTTGAAGCATCCTCCTGATGTTGAAAGGTACAATATAAACTTTACCCCAATATCACAGGATGCAAGCTAACACCTAATGTATTGCAACTACTGAGCGGCATTACACAGTATTGGCCTTTTTTGTTCCCCTAGAAAAATGTGGAGTGATATTGATGGCATGGTCAGGTTCCCCAGAAACAGGTGGCTAACTGGGTTATTGATATCTACTCTGACGTCAGCAACATTATGCAAACTCTTTGCTGAAAGATACATTTTACCTGATATAAAATGTATTTAATTATATAGGTGGGATAACATTTCTTGGCAATGTTATTTTTGCAAAATACAAACACAAGTTTTAAACACAAATATATTTTTGAACAAATCTGCAGTACGAGACGACGGGAAAACATTATTTCACAATGGACAACAGTGATTCAACACCAGGACTTTGAATGTTCCAGGAATGGATAGAGAATCTAAAACTTTATCAGCAGAGAGATGGGCATCAAGTGCTACTTAAAGGTTTGCAGATTGTATGTAATGCAAAACAAATGTCACTTACCAGGAACTGAGTTGAAGGCTACAACAACTTAAGGGTTTATTTTTTAAATTTCAATCAGGTTACAGCACCTTACATCATCCCACATACTTCTCTGCACATACGTGGTGAGAATAACCATTAACCATTAGCGAACCCGAGGGGAATAGCGGGTAACTTTCAGCGGCCAACACACAGTGATTCCAGAAATCATAAGACGATGATTATATGAAGTACTTGAACCTCACAAATGAGTTATGTAAGTATCCAAGTAAGACGCTGGTATTGGGTTTAAGTTCTTTTCCTCCTAACTCAAAAAATAAGGTTATGGCCCATCATAACAAGGCTGCTACCCTTTTTTAAAAAAAGACACAATTGAGATTCCTCAAAACTCACGCTCTCATTTTTTTTTCATTTTTGCCTTTTGACCAAAACGTTTCAATCAAAAGCCAAGCAATTTGTATTCTTCCCCATTAGCTTCATTAACTGAGAGATGTGGTACAAAATCATCTTTGTTTGGATCTGCTACGTCTGACAAATAAAATGATTCATCTTGTACTGAAACCGACACACCACCTACACATTTCTTTGGATCTTGATGTGAAAAGTGGTTGGAAAAAAAAAAGCAGATTAGCCACCAGAGTCGGCATTGCAATAACAATGATCTGACCTGGGCAGTGAACACAGGCTCTATCTTTCAGATAACTGTGTAGCAAATCTGATTGCTGACCCCGGTGAAAAACAATGTCAGCATTATTGCTGACCAATGTACAATTTCAGTCTCAACTTGCACTTGATAGTTTGTTTATTATTTTCTCCAGAAGATCCATAAATTACTTTCATGGGACAGATATCCTAATACAAGTATATAAAGGAATCAAAGTGCAGTGGTTACAGAAATGTGTTGAACTAAAGCAATGACTTGGTTGTTTCTGCCAGCATATTAAAAAAAAGGTAAAAAGGCAAAGCATAAATGTTATATATGACCTTATATTGGACAAGTTTTTATTTAAGAAAAAAAATCAATGTACATAACATATTATTGCCAATGATGAACTGTTTAAGCACCCAACTAATAACCAAGTAAA